TCCCACACAATCATCTCTATGGTTGGAAAGAGAAAATAACCAGTGAGCTGGAGTTCTCTCTGGAGGTCACAGAAGAATAATCAGCCTACTTTGAGTTAATGGGAGGGAAAAGTAACTCAAATAAACATTTATTACAGCAAAGGTTTACAGAAGAGCATCACTGAATGTACAACATGAAGCAGATGGGCGACAGCAGCAGAAGACCACTCCGGGTGTCACTCCTGTCAGGTAAGAACAGGAAACTGAGGCGACAGTTCACGCAAGCTCCCTAAAACTGGACAACAGAAGCTTGGAATATGTTGCTTAATCCGACGAGTCTCAGTTTCTCCAGCAATTTTCAGATGGTAGGGTCGGAACAGTGCATGGAATGGGCTTCCATGGGCAAACAACTGCATCCAAGCTTTGCATCGCCAAGCTCAATGCAAGTGTCGAATGCAGAGGTGTAAAGCACGCCACCACTGGACTCTAGAGCAGTGGAGTAATAAATCACGCTTCTCTGTCTGGCAATCCAGTGGCCAGTCTGGGTTTGGTGGTTTCCAGGAGAACGGTACTTGTCTGACTGCATCTGATGGGTGTAAAGTTTGGTGGCGGAGGGATTATTGTGTGGGGATTTTTTTCAGGAGCTGGGCTCGGCCCCTTGGCTCCAGTGAAAGGAGCTCTTCATGCTTCAGCATACCAAGATATTTTGGATAATTTCATGCTCCAACCTTTGTGGGAGCAGCTTGGGGACAAGTGTTTCCTGTTCCTACATGACAGTGCACCAGTGCACCAAGCAAGGTCCATAAAGTCATGGATGAGCAAGTTTGGTGTGGAAGAACTTGACTGGTCTGCACAGAGTCCTGACCTCAACCCCTCTTATCTTTGGGATGAATAAGAGCAGAGACTGTGAAGCAGGCCTTCAGGTCCAACATTAGTGCAATTGTGAAAAAACGGTCAAACATTCCCATAAACACATTCCTAAACCTTGTGGAACGTCTTCCTAGAAGACTCGAAGTTGTTATAGCTGCAAAGGGTGAGGAGACATCATATTAAACCCTATTGATTAGGAATGGGATGTCACTCAATTTCACATGTTTCAATGCAGATGAGTGACTACTTTTGGCAATATAGTCCATTTTCTTGGCTCCTTAGTACCAACTGAGCAACATTTAAACAGCACAGCCTTCCTGAATCTTTTTGCTGGCCATCTCCATCCTTTTATGACCACGGTGTGCTTATTTTCTGATGGCAGCTTCCAGCAGGACAACACACCATGTCACACAGCTCACATCATCTCAAACTAGCTTCTTGAACATGAGAATGTATTGAAATGACCTCTACTGTGGGCACAGTGATTAATTATTCTGCCTTTGTCATGTTGTAATTCAGCAAACTCATCTCAAGTCCACTTCACTTACTACCTTCTGCTGTATAAAATGAAAATAAACGCAGAATGGAAGCCATGTGACACCTCTATTTAAATGAAAATGGTCAAAGATAACAGCAAATGTTGAAATGGAGAAATTTCATCCACTGAAAAATGTGTTGTCACTTTGAATTCGATAACATCTTTCAAAAAAAGTTGGGACAACAAAAGAGCATCCCTGAGAGGCCGAGTAATTCACAAATAAAAACAGGCAGGGGTTCACCACACGAAAAAAAAAAAAAACTTTTCGGCCTAAAATTTGAAAAGAATTTGTGGATCTCATCATCTGTGGTACATAATGTCATTTAATGATTCAGAAAACTGGAAGAAAAAAGAGACAAGAATAGAAAGCAGTGCTGAATAGCCAAGATCTTCAGGCCCGGGGGGGCGCTGCATTGAAAACAGAAATGTATCAGTTGTGAGCTTCAGAAAGCCATTATCAGTGAACACAGTGTGTCCCTGCATCCCACAAATGCAATCTAAAACACTGACATGCAAAGACTAAATAAAAAAACTGACTAGATCCAGATCCTCCACTTCTCTGAGCCTCAAGTCTCTCTGGAAACCGTGGGCCGTGTGTCCCCCGGCCCTAACAGGAGACAGACCAGCTGGTCGGGAACAGAGTTCGCATCAGTGATGGTTCAGAGAATTACTAAATTAGTGCCCACGACATGGGCAACAACTGGTAACATCTGGGAACATACGCTGCCATCCGGATGACGTCTTTTTCGGGGAAGGCGTTGCTTATTTCAGCAAGATGATGCCAAATCACATTAAGTACATATTACAGCAGGATTGCTCCACAGTGCAGGCTGACAGGTGTCCGTTCCACATCTGTCACCTGTATAAAACCCAGCTACCCACTCACATAACACAAAAATACCACAAATGAGACGCCAAACTGTTGGGAGGCTAAAATCCTAAGTTGGATAAGAATGGGAAAACCAAATGTTACACAGAGGACACGAGAAAGCCATTCAGAATAATTTAGTTCGAAACCACAGAGTTTCTTTTGAATGAACACAAAGGATTCGTTTTATTAAATATATCTTTGATGGATTTTTTTTTCTCCCTGAAGAAAACTTTTTGAAGAACTTTAAGGAGCAGTTTGCTGTTGGTTTGAATTTTATCACTTGGTTTTGTTCTATATTAAAAAATAAATAAATAAAATTAAGCTAAAAGGGGAAAAACATTTCATTTTCAGAACTATAGCAATCATTCTCTTCCCAAATGAACCAAAAGATGAAGTAATGCAGCACTGTGGTAATCTTCTCCCAATCTTTTTTCCCTTTTAGATATACTGTTGCTGTGAAATTTGAAATGAGAAACACCCCCCCCCCCCCCCCCCCCCCACACACACACCCACATCACATGCTGAAACAAAGTCTGTGTTATTTTTATGCTATTCAAAATTAAATAATGGTTTAAATGGGATGGCACAGCGGTTATTCAGATCTCCTCACAGCAAGGAGGTCCTGGGTTTGAATCTGAGCCTTATTCCAAAATGGATTCAATTCATTTTACACCCCAATCTTTTTTCCAGACAAAAACTCCGTGATGACAAAGCAGAAAAGGTGTGCTTGAAATTCTTGCAAAGTCATTAAAAATAAAAAACTAAAATACAACATGTACAGAAGTGTTCACAGCCTTTGCCATGACACTCAGATTCATCCTGTTTCCACTGAAGTTCCTACAGCTTAAATTGGAGTCCACCTGTGATAAATTCTGTTGATTCGACATGATTTGGAAAGGTGCACACCTGGCTATAAAAAGGTCCCATAGTCTACAGTGCATGTCAGAGCACAAAACAAGCCATGAAGTCCAAGGAACTGTCTGTAGACCTCAGAGACAGGATTGTATCGAGGCATAGATCTAGGGAAGGGTACAGAAAGAGCTGGTTGCCCGATTGGGGTACCTTATTTGGACCTTATTCAGGGAGGATATCAAGAACAACACCTAAAAGGCACATGACAGCCCACCTGGAGTTTGCCAAAAGGCACCTGAAGGACTTGAAACAACGAGAAACTAGATCCTCTGGTGTGACGAAACAAAGATTGAAGTCTTTGCCCAGTGTCATGTCTGTAGAAAACCAGGCATCACTCATCACCTGACCAATCCCATCCCTACAGTGAAGTATGGCGGTAGCAGCATCATGCTGAGATGTTATTCAGCAGCAGAAACTGAGGGGTTGAGGGAACAATGAGTGCAGCAATGTACAGGGATGATAACTTGCTTCCGAGTGCGCTGGACCTTGGACTGGTGCGAAGGTTCCTCTTCCAAGAGGATAACGATGCTGAGCGCATCGCCAAGATAACAAAGCAGTGGCTTTGGGACCACTATGTGAACGTCCTTGAGTGGCCTGCCAGAGCTCGGACTTGAACATCTCTGGAGAGATCTGAAAATAGCTGTGCACTAGTGGTCCCCATCCAACCTGATGGAGGTTCTGCCAAGCTTGTAGCATCACACTCAAAAAGACCTGAGGTTGTAATTGCTGCCAAAGGCACTTCAACAAAGCGTTGAGCAAAGGCTGTGAATATTTATGTACGTGTTCTATTTTTGTTTTGTATTAATACATTTGAAAGAATTGCAAGCAAAGGCTTTTTATTTTGTCATGATGGGTTATTGTGTGGAAAACGATGAGGTGTCAAATGAATTTGATCCATTCTGGAATAAGGCTGTAACATGACAAATTGTGGAACAAGTGAAGCGCTCTGAATGCTTTCTGGATGCTCCGTAGGTATGCATGTGTGAGTGAATGGGCTCTCTCATTTCTTTCGGTTACCACTGTGATAAATTGGCAACCTGTCCAGGGTGTATGCTCGGCCCATGACAGCTTGGACAGGCTCCAGCCCACCTGCAAATTTAAATAAGGTAACTGGAAAAAAAATAGATGGATTATATCTGCCTGTATTAATGTCTTTTTAATTTAATTTTTATTCACAGTTTCTAAACAGATTTGAAACCAGTTTATAATTTAAACTACTTTGTTGGCATGGCTCTGAACTGTAGTGTTTAACACATCTGCCTCACAGGCAAAAGGTTCCCCTTGTTTGATTTTTTTTTTGAAGACACACATTCAAGTCAATTTTATTTATGTAGTGCCAAATCACAACACGTCACCTCAAGGTGTTTTATGTTGTAAGCTAAGAGCTTGTAATAACAGAGAAAACAACAATGAGATGACCCTGCTACAAGCACTTGGCGACAGTGGGAAGGAAAAACTCCCTTTTAACAGGAAGAAGAGCCATCGGGGAGAGAAAACGGAAAGAGACACTGTGGAAGAGAGCCAGAGATGAATAATAACTAATGATTGAATGCAAAGTGGCGTATGAAAAACGTTGGATCACAAGCTAATCCAACTCTGGTCTTGGGTATCAAGCCCACACAAATGGGAGGACATCTAGTGTCACCAAATCAAACACGCAACATTGGTCTGCTGTGGTGACAACCTTGGGGAAATCAGCCAAAAGTCTTGGTCATCGTCTCTGATTGGGAAAAAAAGCTCCCAAAACCTACATCTGTGAAGATGTTTTGTGCGGTTAAGTGAGCGTCGAAATCCAACAATATCGCAAAGAAAAAGACAAGACAGCCGACATAATATCTGATGTAAGCTTTACTTTCAAATCCTGTTACATTTAGATCTGGCAAGTTGAACATAAAATAATGCCAAACAAAGAAAAACAAATACAAAACCAAAAAAAAAGAAAAAAAAAAAAGTACAAATGATCTATTTACCAGTTATCATCACAACCCTGTACAGCCTTAACAATGGAGTAATAAAAAAAAAGCTTTGTACAGCACATACCAATCTTTACCGAGTGCCAAAAGTTAAGATAGTTGAGCCTTTTCTAATCATAAAATACAGCCAAACTTAAAGCTAACTGATTGCAGACAGTGCAGTGTGATGCTAACTAAATGCAACCGAGGGGGAGTTAGTTTGAAACACAATTAAGTGCTAAAGAACTAGAGGACAATGTCATGCATACTCTGAAGTGCTCAAAAAGGTAGTCAAGCATCAAAAAAAAGAAAAAAAGGTCACTGTGCTGCTTACAGTTGGGCAAAATAAAGAGAATAAGTGCTTAAGAGTACTGGGTTTCAAAAGGAGAGAGCCCTGTTGCCTTTTTAAACATTACACTCAAACTAAAGGGGGGAGACAGGGAGGGGGGAGGATGTAAAGAAGTGCAGCCATTCATGATTACGCTGTATTAAAAAGGCAGACATTTTAAAAAGGTGTCAAGAGGAGACACATTCTTTTTCTTTTATTATTTATCTCTGTTTTTTTTCCTCTATTGGACCCTGACAATTAGTTTGACTCATTCTCAGAAGTCTCAGGTGGTTTCCTTCCACCAAGTGGCACTAGAGTATAAAAGATAACATAGATAGTACAAGGAAAGTGTGTGTATGTGTGTCTGTGTGTGTGCTGGAGAGATGCTCCCTTTACTCCAGAGACAGCATGCCAGACGTCGACAGAACAAAAAGGAACAAACGGGAATTTAAAAAAGAAGAGGAAGAGGGGGGGAGACAATCGAGGCATCACTCCAGAGCAGGACGTGACGGATTCCATCCTAACATCACGTCCTGCCACGAGTTACAATTTGGTCTTGACGATTTACGTTCTCTGTCCAATCGATGCGTTCTTCTTTTTTTTTTTTTTTTTACCTTACATAAGTGAAGTAAAAAACCCCAAAATAAACATGCAACAATATTTCATTTTTTAAAAAAGAAAATGCACAAGTAAAAACAGACACATGGAAATAATAAGGGAAAACAACCCCTTTACAAATAAGGGATTTTGGCTTAAAGACCACTTAGGAAACACAAACGCGATCGATGACGGGTAAAGCTCTTTTTTTGTGCCGCTCCATTTTGCAAAAAAAACAAACAAAAAAAAGACTTGTTTTCGAGCATTCTCGCGGATAAATACATAGTCTCATAATCAAAAAGTGCAGCACTGTGCAAAATTGGCTATCACAATTTAGCCTGGGACCTTTAGTTCCCAGGGGGAGCTTGACCTCTACTGTCTAATTCATGCAATTTGTATTCATTTGCTTTCTCTGATTTCACAGAGGCAGACCCTTTTGCACCGCCAGAAACATCTAAATGTGAAACTAAGGGGTGTTGATTGAGTCATTTCCAGCAACTACTGCCTACTTCACATTATGCTAACTTGGTGGATCTAAGTTTGCACTTAAAAAAAAAAAAAAAGGGGGGGGGGGGGTGTAAAATAAAAGGTTTAAGTGCTTTTGGCTTGAAGTGTAACTAAAGTAAGTGCAATTAAAACTCAAAAGGTTGACACGAGGGAAGGAGGCGGGGGGACTAAAAGCAGTACCGTGTCTGCCGGCCTAACAGAGGCCCGGCTTGGCTTCATCGTGGCACCTACAGGAGCTTTGCCTCGTCACGGGCTCTCTATGAACGCTAGTAGAAAAGATTTATTATGATGTAAAAGGCTCAGTTAAAAATAAAATAAAGGACAAAAAAATGAGAATAAAAATAAACGAGGACACAGAAAGGCCACCAAACACTAACTTTCCCCGCCTTTACCAGCACTGAAGACGTCTCTTGACTGTTCACACTTCTGTATCGCCTTTTTTTTTCTCCATGTACATAAACAAAAATACATTCATTCAAGTCATTTTGGAACAGTTTTTTTTCTTCCTTTTTTTTTGTACACAAAAAAATTACAAAAGCTCCAAAAAGCACCATTGAATCGGCCTGTGGTGACGCCTGCTGCGGGCTAGCTCGCTAAACCCGAGAGCGGGTCACCTCCACAAAACAGTTATCTCATATCTCTTCTAAGTATAGGTGCGTGATACATAGTTCTGCATGTGACGCTGCTCTGACATCGATCCCGTCTCAGGAGAGACTAACGGATGTTTGTAACTTTTTTTTTTTTTGCAATATTTCATATTTAGATTGATTGATGACAGGTCGGATTTTCCATATTTACATCGTCACAGCTTACATATATTTTTTTCTGAGCTTAGAAATAACTACTAACTCTGAGATGGAATCGATATCAGCCAGCAGCTACGCACAATACCGTTTCACCATTATACAACAAAAAAAACAAATTTAAAAAATAATAATAATAATAAAAGTTAAAAAAAAAAAAAAAAAAAAAAGATGGGAAGGGGGAGGGCTATAAAACTATGTACAAGATTGATAAATAAGTAAGTGCGTGGTTTGAGGCGTTGCTTTTGAAAAGCATTCCGTTTCATTGGTTCTGTCCACAATTGCACCGCTAACACTTCAAGGATATCTCGAATTTCGCTTCCTAATGACGTCAAAGCTAGTTTGAAACACAGAAACAGGCATGCTATTCCGATGCATAATAGCGATAGACAAAAATGCACTAAAATTGTAGCACTTGCGAGTTTTGTTTTTCGTCTTTTTGTCTCCTCGAAACGACTAACGAAAAATTAGCTATAAAAGTGAGAGACGTTAGTTCCGTCAGGTAATGCAGCTGGGTCCAGGTCATTCAGATGCTTAAAAACAGGGGAAAAAAACAACAAACAAAAACAAAATATTAAAAAACAAAAAAACAAAAACACAGGTAAAGAGAGTAGTAATTGATGCTGAAGTAGTAATAATTCAATTGATAGAACTGATAAGAAAAGCAGCTTTTTATATATAAATGCATTTTAGCATGTACAGCCTTTTTCTCTTATAAATGTTATTTTTTTCTTTTTTTTCTCTGGTCCAGCTTATTCTGCTGGTCTGATTGGAAAAAAGGGTTGCTCCCGCCGCAGTGGTCAAGTGTCATTCACACCACCGTCCGAGGAGTGAGGGGAAAGAGCAGGAAGGGGAAGGAGGAGGAAGCGGGGGAGGAGGAGGAGTGGCGGGTGAGGTCAGACAGTCTTGGCCCTCTCCATCAGTCCCAGGTAGGCCAGGAAGGAGTGTTTGTGGGAGGAGGGTGAGGGGAAAGAGCGGGAGGGGGACGCCAAGTTGGAGGAGAAGAGGAGAGGAGACGTGGCCGGCCGCCATCTGGAGTGGAGCTGGGAGTGGAATGTGAAGCGGCTGTTGTGGGTGAACAGGGTGGTGAGGGGGATGAGGTGGGCCCGGTCGCAGTTCCTGTACTGTTCCAACATGTGGCGGGAGGAAGGGAGGAAGAGGGAGGGGCTGCCGCCGTCGCCGGCAACGCTCGCTCCGCTGGGGTCGCTTGGGGCGGCGCCGCCAACGCCGTTGGCGTTAACCAAACCGTGCCGGGGGCCGGCGGGGTCCAGCTGCTGGGACTTGCCCAGCGTGAGCGACAGCGCGACGGACTGAAGCGCCTGAGATGCCGTGAGGCTCATGAGAGGGCTGTTGCTCCCGCTGCCTCCGCTGCTGCTACCACCGCCGCCGCCAAACAGGAAGTTCTCCTGGCTCTTCTGCAACGACGAGCCACCCGGTGACGTCTCCATCGGCAGCTCCTCCCCTACCGCCTCCTCGTCTTCCTCCTCTTCTTCTCCTCCGCCTCTTCCTCCCCCTAAGGCTCCGTCCATCCCCCCCGTTCCCCCGCTCTGGTGTTTCTTGAGATGGCGGCTGAAGACGAAGGGGTGTGTGGTAGTGAAAGGGCACTCTTGGCAGCCGAAAGTCTGGCGCGGCGCGTGCTTCAGCTTCTTGTGCAGGTTGAGGTTGTCCTTGCGCTTGCAGCTATAAGAGCAGCGGTCGCAGTGGAAGGGCCGCTCGCCCGTGTGCACGCGCACGTGCTCGATGAGCTTATTGGCCGTCTTGGACAAGTAGCCACACTGCTCACACTTGTAGTGGTTGCCCAGGCGGTGCCTGCGCATGTGGGCCTCCAGCGAGGCCTGGTCGGGCCACAGTCCCTGGCAGATGCGGCAGCGGTACTCCATCTTACAGTGCGTCTTAAGGTGGCACTCCATGGCCGCTGGACGATTGGTGGAGTAGATGCAAAAAGGGCACCTGGTTAATGGAAGGAAGGACGGAGGGAGGAAGGGAAGGGGGGCAGGGAGGGAGGACACAACACACAAAAGCAAAAGACAGCTGAAAGGAACATGTATGTCCACAGCCATGTAAGACACCTTGAAACTTAATAACACGAGAATGATGAAGAGGAGGAGGACAGATAAAGGAAAATTGAGTACAATGTACAGTTCTGTGTGCACGTGGTGGTATGTGTGGAAGTTTAATGGTGAAAGAATTGAAGTGACCAGGTATGCATGTGTGAGAGGGGAGGGGAGGGAAAGGAGGAAGGTGAGGCAGTGTGGGGTAGGGGAGATGACAGGCAGGAGAAAAAGATTGGAGCAGTAGGACATGAAGGGAAATGAAGGAATGGAGTGGCACTTACATTTAAATAGCACCTTTCATCTGCTCTGGGCCCCAAAGCGCTTCACAAACCCTGCAGAACAGAATTACCTCAGAAAAACCTCGAAATGGTCAAGGCCCTCTCTCCCTCTCTACACACTCCTACATATACAGAAACACTTTACATTGCTCGAGTGCATACATGTGTGTGTGCACACACAGGATGGGAGGGGGGAGGGAAGGGTGAAGAAAAAAAAAAAAAAAGTATTGATCTGGGCTCAAAAGGGGGTAAGAAAATGCAGGCAATCGAAAAGCAATTTTCCCCGAAGGTTCTTTAACGTTTTTCTAGTTGGCTTAATTCTGCCTGCTTTTATTAGTAAATATCAAAGTGGCTTAAAGAAAGTAAGAGTCTGGCAGAAGGTCACATATGCAGATGTTAACAGTAAGGTATACGAGTCGAGCTGGAGCGAATTGAATACGCAGACATCAAAAGAGCTCTGTTCTTCCCGTTTAAAATGTCCTCTATCCAGGTCTATATTATTTGTATACTGTACCATAAAAAAATCAATCTGGCTTCAGAAACGTACACCAGACAAACAGTTAAATCATTAAACAAGAAGTCCTTTACATTTAATCGCTCGCACTACAGCTAGCAGCAACGTGTCGAGGTAACGACTAAAAGACGCCGTGCAGGTCTTCGAGCTATGAAGGGGCTTCTTGTGTCATTTTTGCATTCGTATTTTCAGATGAGATAAAAGTCAGTGCAACTCTGTTAAGCAGCTTCCTGTTTTCATTCAGTGAAATGCTACCATTTCCACACATTTATAGCAATGTTGAGAACTTCACTGATGGCTGAACAGAAAAAAAAAAAAAAAAACTACAAAAAACAAAAAAATGTACAACACAGGTCTTTCGTGACAAGATGAGGCGGTATTCATAATGATATTCGATGGTTCTGCACATGCACGGGACTGGAGTTGTGTGAGAGACTCGAGAACAAAACAAAACATGGCTCATGTTGCTTGAAATGAATCTTCACAAAACATCTGCATTTACTTTTTAAGACACATACAGAAGCTTGAATCTTGTATCCAGAGTGGCGTTAACATGGCCGAAGCTAAAGGTGTGTTTAAGTACATTGGTACATTATCAGTGTGTGTGTGTGTGTGTGTGTTTGTGAGGGGGTGCTGAGGTCAGCAGATGAGTTTTATGTTAGCTTGACAGGCCTGAAATGTCACAAGGACGTGTCACAGTACAACAAAGGCTCCTGTGGGACTGGAGTATGGTGATGGAGAGGGAAGCGTGAGGAGACGAGAGCTGTACACACAGTCGGTGCTAATGGCTCAGTCACACTAGAGGAAAAGTTGGTGGTTGTCCGGTGTTTGCGCTGAATTTTTTCCACATTCGGCAGCTGAGTGCGCAGAACTCTCAGCCTCTCTGTGACCACTTTTGATCGCACAGGTCTCCTAGTGGGAGGCAACCGGTTTGAAAACACTCATGGTCTGAGTGCAGCGACTCTCAGACAGATTGGTGAAGGTTTACAAATAGCTGCTGATTAGTTTATCAACAGACTGCCAATATCTTACAATCAGTCAGAGTCAGTCTGCAACCATGAGCACAACTGGTTGCAGACTGGCTGCATTCCATTATATTCCTATAAAAGCCACAGAAGTCGCAGAGCGCCTATGTCACTTTGTAGTCAAATATTTGTCCTGCGGCAACTACGTCACTATTTGTGGAGATATTTCTGAGGCTCTCGCTGGACTCTGAACGTAAGTAGTTAACATGAAATTCTGTGCATGTAGACGACAACAGATTTGCAATTTAGCTGACTGATTGCTAGATTGAAACGGATAGCCGACCGACTCCAGCCTATTGCTGTTTTATCTCCATCTTGATGTGCCAAAGTTGCTTTGAAGGCAAAACTGACCACAAGCGGTTGCAGACTTAGTCTCTAAAAATTTAACAACTTCAAATTGATTGCGCACAGTCGCAATACTTTTGGTCGCACTGCGGTCTCCGACTGCCGTTTTCTTCTAGTGTGACTGTAGCATAATAAAAACAAGGCTGCTTTATCAGAATACATTAAAAATAACAGAACCATATGCAGTGTGCATGTGTGTTTGTTCACACTGGTATTTAAAGGCTGTTCATTCTTTCCACTGCATGCATTTAGACTGAACAGACTGCGAGTGATTTAGACATTTGTGATTATGGGGTGCCTGTAACGCGCTTGATTATCTTTTAGGGGTGTGCCAACAAATTTTATATAATCAACAGCAGAGTGCACCATGTGTCTGTTATTTTGAGGAGGGAGGGAAGTAGTTTTGTGGAATGCAGGTTTCCTAAGATATTTTTTCCTTGGCATGCCTGTTAGCTGTGGGCAGAGGAACAACAGACCCTGAGGGGAAGCCCGTTTCCATCTCCTTTCCACTCTCCCTTCTGTTCACAACAGCCACTGCAGACCCACAGACCGCTGTCTAATAAGTTGGACTTGCCAAGACAGGCTGTTGAGAAAAACTGAATCAAGTATCATTTCATTTGCTGGCCGCAGATAATAACCATTAAAAGGGAGGTTAGGCGATTAAAGGCATGCGGCCCAAATAATCTTCAAATTAAAAAACGCGTTGGTTACAATCAGCTCTTATTTAAATGAATAATGCTTATATATGCTTGTGCATTTTTTAAAAATGTTGCATTTATAATAAGTTACAAGCACACCCCAAGAGGTACTCTAATGAGTGTGTATATACAGTATGTGATTTTTGTGTGTAGTGAATTGAGAGGGGGAAGGGAGGGGAAGGACGGGCGGAGTTAGGAACCTCTGTCTGTACTTGCTTTCCTTACTTGAGCCCTCCGGAGGGGACGGTGTGGCACTTCTTGTGCTCCAGCAGCTGCTCGGGCGTCTTGAGGAACTTGTGGCAAACGTCGCACTCAAACATTCGTGTGATGAGGTGGATCTGGAGGTGGCGCTCGTACATGCTGCGCGTCTTGCACACAAAATTGCAGAAGACGCACTCGAAACCTGGAGAGAGAGCAAGAGGAGGAGGAGAACGGTGAGTATTAAGACCGGGTTTGTTTTTTTGTAGAAAGCTGATCTGCATTTGGACGAAATCTCAGAGGTTCCCCATCTGCTAAGGGGAGAGAGAGAGTTCAGATACAGGGAGAGGTCAGGTGTACTAATAATGCCCTCTTAGGCTGCAGGAGTAAAATTCCTCTGCACTTCTGTTCAAGCAAAGGGGCTCACGAGAGACCGATCGTGAAAGTGGACGTCCAAGGAGATGCAGCAGCGGCTGTAATATCCTGACTGAGTCCAAAAAAGGGCTCGAGCTCTTTAAAAAACACACGACCCTGCAGTTCTTGCAACAAAATGACCCCTTACCGCTCTGTAACAAAACCTCTTTCTGTTCTACAGTACAGACAGACTTCAGAACACGGGACATGGTTTTTGTACACAAACTCTCATTTAGAGTAAACTAACCTTCATGGATAAAATCTGCAGAGCATCCAAATAAAAGGAAAAAAACAACAACAATTCACAGCATCCTCGATGAGACCACATATGAATACAATTAAGTGAATCAAGTTAGTATGTACTCATTGGCTGTGCTTGGTTGAGAATTAATGAGTGTGTTTTTGAAGGACAGAATCGGTTTGGGGGCGTTGTCCCATCTTCTTGAGCCCGTCGCCCAGCGTGCACCTTCCTGACCAAAGCATTTAGTCTTAATAGATCTTCAAAAGACAAGGGTAATTATGGAGACGGGATCTCTTTAATACTCACTTTCTCAATCAGAGGAGTACCCTCAAACTTTTTAGCCAAGAGATTTGTTGATCAGTTTGACCAACTTCCCCCCAGCGAGGTTTCAAAAACATGTCAGTTTTGCTTGTTTGGTCACTTTAAACAACTTTTTCAGAACACCTAAACTCTGATTCTTGCTCATTTAGAAATGAATAATTCAGTTTGTGGAGATTTCAGGGGCTTTGAAAGTGTATTTGGGTGCAACAGTTCCCACAGTCCCTTGCCTTTGTCAGACTTGTCCTCGGTTCCCGATCCCGAGTGGCTTCCGGAGCTGGACTGGCTGCCGGCGGAGGAGGGCGGGGCTAACAGGCTCTTGAGTTCTTCGTTACCGTGGGTGAGGTCTCCGCCCTCCGAGCTGTTGAGCGAGTCGCTGAGGGCCGAGAGGGAGGATGAGGTGCTCTTGGTCTCGCTGAGGGGACTTCTCGAGTTCAGACCTGGACGCCGGAGGGCGGAGCACAGAGAGAAAGAAACGTTTGTTGGTAGGATCTAATAAGCAGGGGAGAGAAACTGCAGGGGCAGTGAAGAGAAAATAAAAATCTACACAATCTGTGAGCGACACATCATCGGTTTTCTAGATCCCCATTGTTACGCACGCGGACACATACACAAACAGAATGAAAACAGGCAGGCTCGATGGTCCTGAGCTCTGACTGAGGCCCTGCTGCCAGTCCAATCAAGATGCAGTGTGCTTTTATTGATCCCCGTCTGTAAGTCTGCAATTCAGTAGGAAAAGAGAGGGAATAAAGAGCGGAGGGGGCGGCAGGGAGGGAGGGGCGAGGAGCTCGGGTCATGGCCAAAGGAGCTAAGATGGCGGGAGCATCTCAGGGCACAGCTCAACAAAGGGCATTCACTCAGGAGGGAGAGGAAAAGAAAAAAAAAGGAGGGAGGAAAAGCCTGCACCGATCCTGAAATGGTTGACCTACCTTTTTAATAACAGCCTAGTACACACACACACACACACACACACACACACACACACACACACACACAAAATGTACAGGAATGTGCACATGCAGCGCACATGCGTCTCCCCCTGCCTGGTATCACAAGATGACGAAGCGCCTTCAATCAAATCTAAATATACCAGGGTCATTCACAGCACGGTCTCAGCAGCTTTTAAATACAGCGTGCCTCTGTCTCCTTTGCTGCAGTATTTATCATCTGCTGGCCTTCTCTTATAATATCCCAAAGGCTAATGGCAAAAGATGCAAGCGGGGAGGGAATGCCCTGAGCCACCGAGACTCGACCTTAAAACACACTTAACTGAGAAATATTTAATTTTCTTTCACAGAATAACTTTTCTGTGACTGTCCAGCAACATTTATGATAAAGAGAAATAAAGAGGCAAATTTTCACTCCTCCCTTCTTATGAAATCCCACCCACACAAGCCCCCGCCAACCCCCACTCACTGCAAACTTCACCGGAGGGGGTCGGCTCAAACACCCGGTGAGCTCTCTGCCATCTCGCGCCTGGGTGTGTCCAAACATCTGACAGGCTGCTGAGCCCACCCTCTCCGACCACCTGAAGTTTTGACACTTCACCAAAAATGGGCAGGACCTTTGACAAATCATTAAAACATCCTCACGAAAAAAGGCGGGATGCACGTTTCTACAGTTGAAGTCGCTCGTACCCCCTCCCGCCACCGTTTGTGCGTTTGCCACTGGTGTCCATCTTGTGCGAAGCTGAGATAAATGCCAAGAGACGCTGAGAGACTTAAAAGATGGCCAAAGTGGCATCGTAAACCCAGCTCGTCTCCAAAAGGACCCGAGGCCTATTGATTTTCCCCCCCTCAGGCACGATAAGGGCCAACCTTCTCAGATAAACAAGGCTGCCGTGGCCTCTGAAAGACCCCTCAGCTGTCTGGGCCGGACAATCCCACCCTCCCACCCACACATAAGGAGCAAACACACACACAAACAAGGAGCACTAGCAGAGGAGCACAACGTCAGCAATAAACTGGACAAAGCTGTTTTAGACAAAAACAGTCATATCGACCACCAGAGGTTCAGACCAGCAGCTTTAAAAGTCCAAAGAAGGTCGATTGGAGGAGACTTGTTTATGAAACCCAGCTCTGCCGCTCGTCTTTCCCTCTGTCCTCGGAAATGTGTTTTTATCAAGGGTTACATTAAGATGTTTTTGCTTAAAACAGCCCATAGTGATTTCCTTTAATTACACAAAAGCAGCCCATAAATATTTAAACAGTGGCAGAGTTTATATTGCTGTGATTATGCTTTTTATTTCTCTCAAATTTGATATCTGTTCACAAAACGCACATACGCCAGCCAACTCAAATGCTTATTACCGAGCACTTTACCTTTAAGTTGTTCACATACAGACAAGGTGAGCAGAGGAGGAGCCCTACGATTGCCCTGCTCGCCCTATCTGCGCTGCTAAGGGGGGGGAGAGCTCTTTAACCTCACCCGTTGTTTAAATTTAAACTCCATGTGTTGGAGTGCAGAGCCAAAATAATAGAAAATGTGTCACTGTCCAAATACCGCACTGTATTTATATTCTGAGCTGCGACCAAGAGCCACAATGTGTAAGCTACCACCCACTCTTCCATGCGAGAGTAATTTTGAAAATAACTCCATAAATCTCTTTTTCTGCGGGAGCTGAATCGGGTACTTTTGCAGAACAGGTCTGAGGACCCGCAGAAACAACAGCGAGCGGAAAGGAGATTAAAAGACGCGGAGTGCGGTTAAGTCCCGCCCATATGGGAAAGAGTTCTCCATCGAGTTTACGTGATTCCTCATCTCCTCCTACCTGTGACCGGGAAATCATGTTGGTGTGCCGTTCTGAAACATCTATCGTTTCCTAGAACGCACTGAGAGGAGGCAGGAACGAAGGGAGGAGGCCTGATTGAGGGTGCGCAGATGTATCCTCTGTGGCACCGTTTGCACCCATGACATATTACAGAGGCGTGAGACACAGATAACACCTATACGTTTTACACCAAATTAGGTTTAGGTGTGAAAAAGAAAATATTGACTGTATTTAAAAAAAAAAAGAGAGTGCAGCAACAAGATTGTGCCTATTATATTTGTATTTCTTTTAGTTCCTTTCTATAATATCTGGAGGGGAATATTTAAATCATGCACAAAAACTTTGATTTACTGCCAATTACACCAACATTTCAGATGGAAAAAAGACATGTTTCGCGCTCGATATTCAAAAAAAGACGCAAGTGATTTAGAGCGCAACATCTGTAAATCACCCGTAAAACTAACCACAGGAGTATAGCGCCTTCCCCCCCTTTAGTAAATCTGGCCCATGGTATGAGGAGGACTCTACAACTAAGTCTTCCTCCTTATCCATTAAGTGCATCTATGAGAAGCTTGTTTCTGCTGCTGAAAAGAAATTCATCAATTCAAGTCATTTTTTTGCCATTCAGAAGCCAAAAGTGTTTTGTTTTTTTAATTAAATACAAGATTCAAAGTAATAAGAAAATAACATGAAATGTTGAGTTATTAAGTTGAAATATAAAAGCTCTTCCTGAACGCCGGTAGTCTCATCTGACATCTGCTATCCAACAGTAGGCTGTAACAGTGTAACAGCGGGAAGGCCAAGCATCTCTGCCACATGTCACACATAACCAGTCGCTTTAAAAATGAGGTTCAGATTCAAGGACGCTTTTTGCCTGGACTCCTTGCGTCCTCTTGTGGGTGGGACTAGACGCGAGGAGAGCAGACGAGGAGGGAAACGGTGAAATGTGAATCATTCAAAAAGCTGCGAGTAGCGTGGCAGCAGTATGCTAACACGCAGCTAACATTAGCCTTCCAACAGCTAATGAGACAGAGCAGGAGGCTGAAACAGTAAAGTCTAATATTTCAGCCTCGCCAGAGGGTGAGCTTTTTCTGTTTAGGAAAAACAGAAAAAAAACAAAACAAAAAGCAAATTGTGTGAATATTTGATGCTTTGCTGATGAGTTGGAGCGTATTTTTTCTTTTTGCAGAACTTTCCTAACATTTTCTTCCATAAACTGATCATCAGCTCACTCCAACAATACACATACAAACAATCAAACAAAAATAAAAATCAAAGACTCTCTCATCAGTGCTGTCACCACCAAAAGTCAGGCCAGCTATCTGTACCTGTGTGCCCAGTGCTGATGTGGTTCCTCATGTCGGTCTCCTCCATGCACACATAGTCACAGACGCTGCAGCAGAGCGAGAACATCCACTGCTCCTTGTCCACATGGAGCGACATGTGGCTGACAAACTGGGCATTCAGCTCCGTCTGGAAACCACACACATGGCAGCTGGACAGAGAACAGAGAGGAAGAAGGAGGAAGAGGGTGAGAATGAGAGGAGGCCGACGGGCCGCTTCAGTGTTAGATTTTCCCTGCAAGAACTGCCAAATGGTATGTTGTAGCTACATTCCTCTCAACGTGATAAAGACTGCTGAAGATAACATACAATTCAGAAATAGTGACACTGACCTATTTTAAAAGACATTGGACACATTAAAGTGTCCAGTTACATCTTGGAAATTCATCCAGTTAGATTTTTTTGCAGACATTTACAGAAAGAAGAGATGATTAGCTAAGCTCTGTTTGTTCAACCAAGCTGCTCACAAATCAAAATCCAAGCTGTTTTACCAGAACAGAGTAGCTGTTTATTTTTAAATATATATAATAAAAACCCCACAATTGAGTTTGTTTGTTGTCCTCCAAAAAAGCCACACCACTCTTTATGCTAAGCTACTGTACTTTATGTTTTGCTTCCAAGGAACAAGACCTATTTTAATTTATTTTAAAGTGTTGTTGTGCAATAGCAAAAAAACAAATTAATTAATTAGAAAAAGGGCACCTAACTGAAGGGATGAACCAATTTTAAATACTTGATTCAGGTCCTAACTAGCAGCCTGTCACACAAATAGCTGAATCTACAAAAATGCAAAAAAGACCATTTTTATACCAACAAGATGATTCCCCAAAAGCTTGATTCTTAATTTGGTGTCCAGTATGTCCTTAATTTTTTTTTTTTACAAAACTGGACAAGGAGGAGAAAAGAAGATAGCAGGGCTAACAAACAAAACAAATCAAATAAAAACTATCAATCATAAATTGATTTATGGACAGCAATTTTAGACATCCTTAAAAGATCCAGAAAAAATAGAAAAACAAACAAAAACAGCAAAGACCCGACACAGGACCAGACAGATGCATCTGGCCCTTTAGCTGATATCCATCTACTGTTCACTGAAGCTACATCACAAATGGTCTCAGTGGAAGGTTGGAAGAAGTCATTCTTAAGGAAGAGAAAAAGCTGAAGTGTTCCACATTAAACACGAATTGGACTGAAAAATACAACAAGTGAGTGCCTACAGTCATCTGTAAAACACCGTGGACACTGTGTCATGGTTTGGGGCTGGATTTCAGCCAGGGTTGTTGGGGGTCTTGTGAAAAATGACGGAATTATGAGCACAGGAAAGTGTCCAGCATCCTGGATTTAAAAACAAAACAAAAACACAAACACACATGCAGTGGAACACCATCAGTCATGGATTGGCCTCCCCAGAGCCCAGAACGCGACATTATTGAAGCAGGGTGGGATCATCTTGACAGAGAAAAGAACAAAAGGCAGCCAACATCCAGAGAAGAGCTTTGATTATCCTTCAAGAAACCTGGAGAACTAATCCTGAAGACTACTTAAAGAAGTCAGAGGAAAACCTGCTAAGAGAGTTCAGGCTGTTTTGAAGAATAAAGGTGGTCACACCAAATGTTGACTTTCTCAAGCTTGTTAGGATTTCAAACTCTGTTTTGTTTTTTATATTGTATTTCCATGTATCGCTAACATATTTCTGCAACACTCATTTCTCAGCTTCCCAGCAAAACATAAGGAAATGTGGGACTTTTGCACAACTGTTCACTGGGTCTTGGTTCATGTGAAAAGCACAGACACAAGAGCAGATCTACTTCATCTCCTCATCTGAACCTTTAGCAAGAAGGCGAACGAGCATGTTTCAGATAAAATGAAAACAAACCTTTAACATGTAGCAGTGGCAGAGAGAGGGTGTAATTGTGCATCAGAGAAATAAATATATATATATATATTTTTTTTTAAAAAGCCTAAATCTACTATGTGGTACTGGCTTGAGATGTCCTCAGCAGGTGTGGTGGTAACACGTGGTCCTACCTGTAGTAGTACGGGCAGTTCTTGCGCTCGGTGGAGTCGGCTGTAACAGCGCTGACAATCTGCTCAGCATCTGTGTTGACCAGCTTGACAGAGTGGATGGTCAGGTGCTGATTGAGGTTAGCCCTGCACTTGGCTGCATAAGGACACAGGTGACACTTGTACTTCCTCTCTTCTGCAAGGAAAGACACACACACAGACACACACGACCCTGGGTTACTGTAAACATCACCTCAAATGATATTTCATTAAGTTGCGCTCAGCCTCCGAGCTTTTAAAGCAAGCCTAAACCTAATTACTTAACGCTTAACCCTGCCTCACCTTCGCCCGACCCCAACTGTAAACCTGATCCCCAGATTTCTGGGAAAAACATGTAGATACCACAAGATGTTTTAAAAAAACAAAACAAACAAACAAAAAAAACCAACAACAGGCACACATGAACATCATCTCCCAATAATTTGCGAGCGCTATGAAATCCACGCAAAAACACACTTCTCTTTATCTGAAAACAAATTAACATAACAGCACATCCAGCTCAAACACGCACATGCTTACACAAAGACACACGCGCGCGCACACACATACGCCATTTGCCCCAAGGACACGAAGCCAGGCAACCTTTATGTCGCCGGGGAAACCAAAAAGACCATCACACTGACATATGCCCCTGCTTCTGCTCTCCGTGGTGTGGCCAAGCTGTTCACAGCCAACACTCTCAGATGGTGAGCGTGCATGTCGTGCAGTGTGTGCACGCTAAATGTGAGAGCATGTCCAATTGTGTGGGGGCATTTTGTACACTAGTCTCCATTTGTGCACTTTGTGTGTGTATAGTTATTCGTTACTAATCCTGAACAGACGAAAACTTTACAAACAGGAGAATCATTTTATTTATTTATTAATTCATTTTTAACCAATAAGGAATGAGGAGAGTGGAGAGTTGTGGAAGACGGCGATGGGGTAGAATGAATCGATGGGGTGCAAAGGCGGGCCGAGTCTGAAAAACACAGGGTAATCAGGACACGAGGGAGTGAGGCAGACTCCCAGAGAGAAAGTGAAAGAGCTAACCAATCGTAGCAGGATCAGAATTACTGGGGTGTGGGTGTGTGTGTGTATACTCCGTGGCATCCTTCTAGCTGGGTAATTAGACGGGCAGTTTTCCCAGTGAGACTAATCATGGTAGTAATCTCTTTAAAGGAAGGGTAATCTAGTCTAGTCAACCTTATTTATTTACTGTGGGCAGCATCAACAACACAGGTGAATACCTAATGCCTGCACTTGAACGGAGAAGACGTCACAGCATGCTGGCGGTGACTTACCTGTGTGCAGGGAGAGGTGTCTAGAAAGGGTCTGCTGTCGACCAAACACCTTGCCACAAATGGGACAGGGGAAGAGCTGTTCGTTTAATCTCCACTGGGCGATCCCATTTCCCAGCTCTCCGTCATCCTTTTCCGAGTCTAGAACACACACGTGCACACACACGGAGAAAACCGTTCCCATCATTTGCTGCCAGCTACAGAAACGACTGCAGACTGCTGTAACTCAGCCAAAGTTACTTACGCTCTACATGCACTGCTGTGCTAAGTGAGCTTCTACTAACCACAGTGTTCTCTGGATTATTGGGTAACCTTTGCTTTCCTCGTCTGTTTTAAGCATTTTCTTTTTATTCAATAATCTATTGTCAGGTGGGATATGAGGCTTCAACATTAGCCCGCTACGATGCCCCAGTTACTTCCCTCCTCAGACCAGTGACGCAGCTTTATCGAGGCACACTCATCCGTTCATATTTTCGTTGAGAAATATTTTCACATTTGAAGAAATCTGCTTCTTTGCTTTCTTTGAGGACAGGATCTAATAATTATTGACCTAGCAGCCAGGCCGTTTTTTTTTTTTCCACAGGACAGGCAGAAAGTAATAAGAGCAGCCCAGCAGGATAAACAGCAGCAGTACATCTTGCGTGTACACTGTAATTTTCATACTTATTAGTGAATTTAAATATGTAAGGTTTATTTTTGAACTGTGGACAGAACAATGCCAGCCATTTTTTGCCCTCCTGCATCCAGCTGACATAATCTAAGCCGTCCTGAAATTTACCCTGATGAGCCAAAACATTATTCTCACTCCACAGTGAAACAAACAATGTTGGATATTTCATAACAGCAGCATGTGCAGGTCAATTTACTGAATGCAGGAAACATGATCTGGTGTACTGAATTATCCTTATAATTGCACATTTGAAAGTGAATATCCAGACTGTGGTACAGGAAGCTTTTTGAATGCAGTTTGTAGTAACAACTACATCTGAGCAAAATTCTTGGCCCATATATTCTCTGGGTACAGCAGCAGCTCCAAAACATGGCCCATGTCCCTAAGAGTCATCAGATAAGAGTCAAAGTTTCTCAACTTTAACAGTGACCAAGTGACCATGGCGCGACAATTGGGTTTAAAAAAAAAAATCTCTTGACAGCTTAAAGTATAATGCTGACAGGCTTTTAATAAAATTTAATTCAATGCAATTTGATTTATATAGCTCCAAATAACAAAAACAGTTGCCTCAAGGTGCTTTAAAGGGGACACGCTTGAACAAGACTCAGCCGAGTCCAACAATGCGCGCTCCAACTCAAACGTCTTACACTGGCTCCCTGTTAAATCCAGAATTTAATTTAAAATCCTTCTCCTCACATATAAAGTCTTGAAAAATCAGGCGCTGTCATATCTTAAAGACTTATCCTAACAGAGCTCTTCGCTCTCAGACCTTCAGCTTGGTTGTAATTCAAAGAGTTTTTGAAAGTAAAATGGGAGGCAGAGCCTTCAGCTATCAGGCCACTTGCCTGTAGAACCAACTCCCAGGGTGGATTTTGGAGACAGACACCCTCTCTACTTGTAGGATTAGGCTTAAAAGTTTCCTTTTTGATAAAGCTTATAGGTCTGGATAGTTATGCTGCAATAAGCTTATGCTCTAACCAGATGTGCAGGATAGCCGTCACAGAGCCTGGTTCTGCTGAAGGTTCCTTCCTGTTAAAAATAAGTTTTTTCTTCCCACTGTTGCCAAATGTTCGCTCATGGGTTTTTTTTCTCCATAATACTGTAGGGTCTTTACCTTACAGTGTAAAGCACTTGAGGCAATTGTTAAGAATTGGCACAATATAAATAAACTTGAATTGAATTAAAAGGATTTGCTGCAACCATCTTGGGACCAGATACTACACGACACTTACAGCATCCAAAAGGTGTGTTAAGCAGGGGTGGTCACAGTATTTGGCTCTTAAAAGGGTACATAAACATTTTCTAATCTAATGTAATAATTTCACATAGTTTCACATTCATAAAGGTGCCTGTGTGTGCCTACCCATCACCCACCAGGACAAGAAACGGGGCAAATGAAACAGAATGGTGACATGTTTCGTTAGTTCCTTCTTTACGAATGCATTTTAATTATAATCTGTGTTCACGTTTTTGATGATTGTAAGGTAAAATCTGTTCGACAGCCAAAAGCTTGGAAGGTAAAAAAGGCTTGTTTGAGAAAATATGCCCCATAATCAAAACATTTTCAGGCATATAAATATGAAAAAGTCTTAATTCCCTTCGTCTGAACAGCAGACGACTGATACACCGCGGGCTAATTTGCTAACCCACGAGAGTGAAACCTGTCTGCCACCATTTGACAGATGCTCATTGTTTAGCCTGCAGGTGGGATGCAGTCTAAATGCATTCTTAATGTCAACGGCAAGCACAAGTCCTTTGCTCTGAAGCCTGCAGCACAAGCACACCACTGTAACTCTCCTCGCTGTATTTCACCTCTTTCATTTGGGAGAGGATGGAAGGAAAGACATAAAAAGAATAACACTGAGAATTTTCACTTGCTTTGACAGACGCTGAAGAATAGAAGTTACAGCTTTGAACTAACCCCCACCATATGAATAGAGCAAGGAGTAATTCACAAACGCAAAAGCATGTAGCACTTTTTTTTTACCCCATTGTGGTGTACAACTACCATGAATGAAGGCAGAAATTTTATTTACAAATGTCTATGCTGTTCAGGGAACAGGCTACACAGGTAGCCTTGGCCAAAACCTTTCTATGTGCAAGACATTAAAAGGTGAAAAAGGCATCTTTAAAAATTCTTTAGTCTCTTTTTTTTTAAATGACGATAAAGAAAAGGAAAAAATGCTGCTCATTCCTCCCACTAGCTCAGAGTTAGATTCTTTGCAGATGGAAATCAGTGCACTTCAGTCCACTGTTGATATTTAACAACTGCTCGCTATCACTTTTTTTTTAATATTTTTTTTAAAGGCTGTCCTAAAACATACCGTCTAGCCAGCCGATGAGCTACTCGTGTGGGTTTGAATACCACAATGAGGGAAAAAAAGCAAAGATTGTTTTGTGGCATTTTGGGGGCATGTTTAGTGGCAACTGGTAAAGAACAGATGTTGGTGTGAAAGGACATTTCACTGCTGCTGCAGTGACTCACACAGCTTCACGCATTTAAAAATCGCCTCTCTAGCCTCCATATGCAAACTACTGAATTTATCTAGCATATCTTTGTTCATGTTCTGTCATCTGCGTCACACCGTCTCCTCGCAGAGTTTCGGAACTGTCAAAGCAAGATCACGCACAGTCAGCTCGACTTTTCTGCAGAGAAATAAGTGTCGGCTAGGAATCCAGACAATAGATGCATCCAGACAACAGATACAAAATTCTATCAAAACAATTACTTTTATAAAACTTGATTCAAGCCAAAAAAAAAAAAAATTCTCCTACCTTGAACCACTCGTGAAATAACGATTTGACAGTATTTCTAAGGAAGTGTTCAAGATTCAAGGAGTTGACTACAGATTGAGTTTCTTGATTCATCCAGATCGTTTTTAAACTGGAGGTCAAACTGTCTGAATGAACATTTAAATTGATTAACATGCAGAAATGTCAAATATCCTCTGGTAGGAAAGTTCTGGATTGCTGATCAGACAATGTGAAAACATCCGAAAATGTCGCTTTGGGTTTGGGACTGCAAGTAAAAAATAGATTAAAAGAACAGTCTGGAACTCGTTTGGACCTTTAAAAAAAAACAAAAAAAACAAACTAATTTGAAACAGAATTAAAGGCAAGGTGTCACATGTTGAAACAACATGAAACCCATTGTGAATTTAATTACCTTTAATCAATTAAAAAAAAAAGAAAGAAAAAAAAAGGGGAGAACATGTGTAATCATACTTGTTTCCCGTTCACCGCTCTGCTGCAGAGAAGGATGAACGAGGCTGGAATACGATGGTAAATGCATGCAGGTCTGTGTCAAGCAACACCTACCATTAGTGACGTTAATAACGAGTGACTTTGTGTTTCTTCACACGCATAAACACAGTAAAAGTCCTCAAGGTGACATCCTGCATTAGCTGGAATCTACCTGCATCTATCGGTTTTTAAACTCATTCGCAGTTTGTGACCTATTGTACAAATCCTAATCTTTATTATGTCTTAAAGCTAAAGTATACCCCATGAAAGCATTAACTTGTCCTGACTCACACAAGTGAGACTCGGGGATGGTTTTGGTCACACAGAGTGATGAGAATCCAGACAGCAGAGGCTCAAGGCCATGACCCGGCATACACACTGATGATTAAGCCAATTAGGGTGTAGGGGCCTTCAAGTGGTTAATGGTTTAATTAGTGCTATTAGAGCAGAAGAGAGGGACGCAAACAAGAAATGAAGGATTGTGTTAAACCCCAGACTGGAGGGAGGAGACAGCGAACTCCTCAAGTCACACTGGTATCACACTAACTCCTACTCATTTATTCTCTCTTTCTTGCTTAAAGGGAAATGCTCACACTTTTCAGCTTCATCTCTGCATGATAGCTGCTCCATTAGCTGCTTCATAATGGAGAGCATTTTTGTGCTACAGACGCTCTGCTGAAGCCGTTATGTCGCCTGTTATGCAGTTCACAGTCTGGTTTTAAGTTCTTTTATGGATTTTTTTTGTTTGTTTTTCCAGGGGGTGGACGGACAAATTAAAGTGTAGTTTGTAGATGACAACAATAGTGCAGCCATTAAAAAAAAATAAATAAATAAAAATACTGGAACAATTTCATTTTGATTTTTGGTGTAATTTTGAATCCGGTCTTTTGTCCGTCATGATTTTCAACTTGATTATTTCAAGTGTGCTTTAGCGTAGTCCTTAATTTTTGAACACTATATATTAAGCCGGAGGATCTATACTGATTAAAAATGATCAAGTGAAATTTCAACTGGTTTGGATAAACTGCACGCACACGTGAAATTGAAAATGCAGGTTTTCATAGAAAAATCGTTATCTTACACTGACATCAAATAAGATATCAACTAGCTGTTTAAAGGCTCAGTCACCTCCTTACAAGTCTGGATAATGACTTTGGATTGCAAGGCGACTGCATGGCTCGCCTTGTGAGAGGCAACCTGTATCAAACAGCTGTGTTCAACTTGAACTGGATGCAATAACTCAGATTGGAGGTTTGCAAGTAACTTCCTTTTAATTTCTAAACGCAGACAGATTGCGAACATGTTGCAATTAATCTGAATCAGACTGCACGCTCAGGCGCAACTCATCTTCTTCCAACAGAGGGAATCGACTCAGCTGGTTATATTTCTATATAAGTAAGGTTGCAGAGTGCAGGTATCATTTTGCAGTTAAGTCACCGTCTTGTAGCAAGTACATCACTGTCTATGGAGGAATTTCTGTTTCAAACCTATGATGTGTAAGCGGTTAACCTGAGTTTGTGTATGTACATGCAACAGTTTTGTGATTTTTATTCTTTTGTGTCTATTACAGTTAAAGACTGTATTACAGTTTGCAATTGGATATAAGAGCTGGTTTGACCTCATTCAATTTTAACCTGAGAGCTGCCTTGGTTTTATTTGCAGTTTTGATGCAACAAAGTTGCTCTGAAGATGACAACTGACAGCGAGCCGTCACAGACTCTGCCCCCATCTTTGAAGCAACCACGCGGTCTCTAACCACTGTTTTCCCAATAGTGTGACCGGACCATAGTATGTCTAAGTTGGGATCTACAAACAGAATAAGTCCATCTTCAAAAAACAAACAAACAAAAAAAAAAAAAACCAACCTAATTTTGGAATTTTAGCTGTTGATTGGATCAGATTAAACACTCAAATTAAAAAATTAATTTAAAAAAAATATTAAAATTTAAAACCAAGTCATGTTAGTAACAAACAAAAGAATTAAAGACATTTGTTCATACTGGTAAGCTGTCATTTTCTGCTCATTGGTTTTTACATATTTTTATAGGGAAAAACCCCAAAAGAACCAAAATTTGAGGAATTTTATGAAAAGACTAAATTAAAACAGAAAAACAGAAAACTTTACATCTCTGGTATTTAGTGAAACTCTCTGACTGTGGGCAAACTAAAGACTTAAAAAACAAAACAAAAACACACTGATCACCTTTTATAAGTTGCGGCACATCTTTTCTTTTTGTCTTCTCATGGCCACAGCAGCTGAATGGCAGCATTTTCCAGGAAAGTACTGTCTTCGCCTATACACTTCTATTTATAACTTACATTATAAAAGTTATTTGTATTTAACAAAGTGGAGTCCAGTGGAATGTATAATCATTATATTACACAGGAGTGCTAAACAAAGACTCGAGGTATGCCTTTGACAGCTGACGCAGGATCAAAACCGCACAGTGACATCTGCGCTATAAAGGAAAGGTGGCACAAAGTGGCAGGGAAAAGATGGCAGTTCACCGACCAATGAACTGAAAATATGTTTAAAGGTCTGCCTCCCTACAGCTGCGGTGGGCAAACTTACCGATCGAAGGCAATGGAGACGCAATAAAACGCGGACACAATGAATGAGGGAGGAAAGAGAAATGGTACAACTGTAAAAGAAAGAAAAAAGACAGAGAGAGAGAGAAAAGGCAGCAGAGGCTGAATGTGAAGCTTAAACACACAAGGGAAAGGGGGAGGTGGGCTGGGCGAATTAACTTTCAGGACACTCTTGACACCCAGAAGCCAATCAGATTTTCATTAACTGGCAGAGGGACAGGCAAAGCTGGCACAAGCTAATTAACCTCTGGATCTCTTACTGCCAAAGGAACAAGGAGGGAAGTTCTGAGATGCCAGGAAAGAGGGGAAGAGAGGGGATGCCCTGAGCAGAGCCTTCAGGTTGGGGAAATGTGCGAGAGTTCAGAAGGGCCTGAAGCAGCTCTATATATGAAAAGGTGAGAGGAGTGGTTTAACCACAGTGTGTGTGTGTGTGTGTGTGTGTGAGTGTGCTGTATTCACACGAAGAGTATTAATCTGTGGACATACTGTATATTGTAAGAAAGCAGGTAATGAGCAACTCCACATTATCAATTATTTCCCGAAGCTGTAGCGAGAACAACATGAAGACTTGGAACCTTTAAAGACCATGAATGATGCAGCGATACCGAGTGCTGGCAGTTAATTAAGTCTCATATTTTGTCGAGCTGCGGAGGACTTTTTTTAGTCCAGTTTCTCTCGTAACAAAACACAAAGACACCCGATCAATTCACTGATTTTTTTTTTTTTTTAGCTGAGGCCACAATGATTTTCATTCTCGATCAATAAGCAAATTACTTTTCTTTATGTGATCAATTATTTAAATTCCATATAAATTATCATTTTTAAATTTGTCTTTAGGTCTAATTGAAAACACTAGAACTCGAATCCCGCATCTTTAACTTTTATCTACATGTCCGTGTTTCCCCGTGATGATGTTGGCCCACAGTGTGTGTCGGTAACGTGTCTCACCGTTGAATGGTACCCTGGTAGAGGAGCTGGCCTCTGCGGGCGAAGTGCTCTTGGAGCGCGAGTTAAAGGGTGATTGTCTGAAGCACTCGTCCAGAAATGGACTGAAATGGAGAGACATGAAATAAATCACACAGCCTACTTACACGGCCATCAAACCAACCCAATATTCAAGCCATGTAATTACTGATCAGACACTGAACAAAAACACGTGTATTTACAGTCTATTTACAGACTTACCTGTTTATCCCCACCATGTTACTGTCTTTGTGGTTGTTGGCTTTGCTGACTTTTTCTGGAGAGAAAAACAATAAACCATACGTTTAGATATCTATTCTGTCAAACCACTGTGCTCAAATTTGAGGGACCGGTGACAAGCTGTCCATTTAGGCTCAGTGTTAGTCGGCAAGTTTCCTAAAACGCCCCGTGGGTCGTAAGTCGCTGTCTGACAGTGACACAGAGATGAAACATGTGCAGAGATTTATCCAACATCCCAGACAATCTTAGTTTGACACATGAGCTGCTATTCAGAGGAATCACACAGATCAAGCCATTGGATGAATAATTAAACAGCGCTGTCCTAACTTTCCTTCTTGATCGGTTGTGACACAATCAGGACAACGCCAAGTGAACTTATGGCCAGACTGCCAAGTTAAGCTATGCTCACGTAAAGTGCAGGTTTGCCACAGCCAGTAGGGAGGCCACTGGCCATCTGGATTAGTGGGAGTTTCTCCAGCGGGTCTGCTGACCTTTGCGCCACGAGCTCGCCCAACAACACCAATTTGCAAGCATTTAAAAAAATTAAAAATAACAATGTGCACGGCTGCCCAGATATGCATTAGCCTACCCAGATGACACATGTGTTGGTGTACGGTCATGCTCTTGTATGATAATGTAGGGGGGGAAAAAAACAAAAACTGTCAACATTTTAGTATCTAAATCAACACCACTACTCTTGCACCTATGGACTCAAACCACAGCACAAGAGCTGAATCACCTTCAATAACATGAAGGTTGAAAACGATGGGAATGTTTAATATTCGACTGTATTACACTGTATGCACACATTCCACACCAAAGTCTTCCTCCGGTGTTCAACTCAATTGAGATTTGCTGCATGGAAAGTTCACAGAATGTGACTCACAACACTTCCATCTGTAACCAACCATTCAGTGACCACCTCTTGCCCAATGGATGCAGGCACCGTCACGCTGTACGAACCTGCTAATGCCTCATCAGTGCAACAATGAGACCACAGAATAAGTTATGCATTTACACATGAGTCTGAGGGGACAAGTAAACCCAGAAAGCCCCCCACAGTGTAACAGCTCACTGTTGGAGGTTAATGGTTCAGCTTTATCCTCTAATGTTTTACCCATCTGTAAATAGGCAGTTTAATACACTGAGAACTGGGTGACAAAGTAAACTCTTTAAACTGGCAAATATTTATTTGCCCCAAATTGTAAAAAGCCCCTCGCCCACAAACACAGCAAGGTGCTATTAATTTTTTTCCCCACCGAGAAACTGTTTAGTAATAAGAAATATCAATATAAATGTACTAAAAGAGCAAAGATTCTTTTTTTCCCCTCCTTAAAAGAAAAAAAAAAAAATCAAAACCTTGAGAATCCTACAGCACTACAGTACAGGAAATCTCTTAAAAGTAAAGCAAGAATTATCAAGTTGGACACTAGGTGCCCAGCAAATGTGCGGACGGATCATGGGGGTTTCAGTATTTGGCAGTAAAGAGCACTATACAAAATGCCTGAGAACGGAGCCATATGTGTGAGTTTCAAGGCAACGCATTGAAGTGAATTTCAAAGCTGCAATCATCTCGGTGTTCAGAGCGACCTTGCTACTGATGTGTCTCTGAGGTCCTACTGCTCTGGGTAATTCATATTGATTGCTCATTGTGTGACAGCAGCCCACTCTGTTCCAGTCCCCCTCACATTCAAGCCCAGTTCTAAGGCGGGCGGTCGTCGCTGTTGCCAGGCTAGTGATGGCCTGGCCTCCCTGGGTGGGCATACTCCGTACCCCCGCTGCCCTCCCTACCCTCCTTATCCTCAGCCACCCCCCGCCTTTGCTACAACCCACCACCACCACTACCAAAACCCACCCCCTACCCAAAACACCCTATTCCGTCACACTGCTCGCCAAGGACAGAGGTCTCTTTCCGCGTTGCCATGGAGATGCCGCACGGGAGAAATGTAAAGGGAGAGAAGGAAGGAGGGAGGGAGAGGAAGTGCAGGGGGAGAGCGTGTGCAGCCAAGTGTGCTTGAGCCGGCATGTCTGAAAACGAGTCGAGAGAGAGAGAGAGAGAGAGAGAGAGAGAGAG